CTGCGCTCCTGCAGCGGAGGAGGAATCGGCTGCATCACGGTAAGATGGCTGACAAACTGAATGTGTCTGACTGATGCTCCAGTCCGACAGAAAACTTTACATTTACTTCAGAAGAGCTTTGAGGTTGTCTTGCTTAAAAACTGTGTGTGTGTGTGTGTGTGTGATATGAAGGTTCACCCTAGCAAACACTACTTTGTTGTAGCAGAGAAGAGAAACCAGCCCAACATCATCATATATAAATATCCATCGTTAAAACTGCACCGGATCCTCAGAGGTAAAAAAAAAATGACTAACATGGAATCAGTCAAATCCTGTTCACGTTATTTAACGATCATCATGTTTTAACCTGCACGTCTGCAGGCGGCACAGAGCAGGCGTACAGCTGTGTGGAGTTTAACCATGACGGCAGCCTGCTCGCCAGCGTGGGCAGCGCCCCTGACTTCATGCTGACGCTGTGGAACTGGAGGCAGGAGGAGGTGACGCTGAGCTGCAAGGCCATTTCTCAAGAGGTCTACCGGGTCAGCTTCTCCCAGTTCAACCCAGAGCTGCTCGCAACGTCAGGATCTGGACACATCAAGTAAACAACCAACGCAATCATCCTGAAACTACAAAACCTGCCTCATAAACACTTTTCACATCTTTAGACCCGATGACCTGCTATATCTCGTTTTTACACACACATGCACATTCCTTTGCTTTTACGTTCAATATGTTTGTTCTTATTTATAAATGGTAAAAATTACCATCTCTGTCAGGTTCTGGAAAATGGCGAACACATTCACAGGGATGAAGCTGCAAGGGCTTGTGGGACATTTTGGGATAACTCCAGAGACTGATATTGAGGGCTACGTGCAGCTTCCTGATGGAAAGGTCGGTTCCCTGTTGCTGTGACAGCATAAGTTTCCTCTGTCGGAGTCAAGCGAAAGAATACTTAACCCTCGCTCTTGTGACTTCCTGTTAAAGGTGGTGTCCGGCACAGACTGGGGCAACTTGCTGCTGTGGGATGGAAACACCATTAAGGCGGAGATTTGCAGAAACAAGACGCAGAGCTGCCACATCGGGACGGTTCAGCCGTTTGTTCTTGAGGAAGGGCAGCTGTTAACGATCGGTTCTGATGGAATGGTCCGGGTGAGATATCCTCATATACCTTCAAGAACTTAACAAGGCTCAGTAGTTTCCCTAAACCAGCCGGGCACTGTGGTTTGGAGAGTTTACTCTGCAGAGGATTCATTTACATTTCGTCCGAACAAAACCCAGAGAGTGATGGTCAGTGCTAAAATACAAACACATAATGTGGATATAAGTAGTCAGAAATGAAAGATAAGAGGAAGTAGAAATACTGCACTGTGGTTGTTTGCCAGAATGTTTATGTATGTATTCATATGTCTCTATAAGCCGTATGATTTTCGACGCCCTGCAGGGCTGGGACTTTGAGAAGGTCGACGCTGCAGACAGCAGCGTCAACGGCAGCAGGTTTGAGCTGGAGCCGTTAAATGAGCTGGAGGTCGGAAACAACGTCTGCCTCTCGTCCGTGGTGAAGAGCCCCCAGCCCGACTCCTCCGTCTGGTTTGCTCAGGTCAGTGCAGGAAAAAGGGTCAAAGGTCATTAGTGATACATGATGCGTTCACTCCTCAGTTGTGATTTCTCTGCTCTGTGGATCTCGTGCTGCAGGATTCCTGCGGAGCGATCTGGAAACTGGATCTTTCTTTCACCCACACGGTAAGTTCTCCACACGTTTATACACACGCTACTGATATTACTCTTTGTTTGGTGCATTGATTTGTGTGTGTGTGTGTGTGTGCGTGCGTGTGTGCAGGCTCCCGATCCAGAGTGCCTGTTTTCCTTCCATGCCGGGGGGATCCAGGGCATGGACGTGTCACCGAAATCCCACCTGATGGCCACGATTGCTCTGGACCGTGAGTCACACACTTCCACACCTGCACACACACAC